AAATGGCATGCAGAGGGGGGTTAATTGGTTTGCTCAGAAGCCAGGAACTAGCAGAACTGGGTCTGACACTACAAGGCCCACTTAAGAAGATGCAGCGTCAGTGCCTTGACCTGAGTGTCAGGTTAAAGGTGCTTTGGCATGGTGTATTGTGGCTGCCAAAGGAAGGTGTGGCTCAACTCGTTACCTAGTGTTAATAGGAAGAAACACCCAACACTGATTTTGGAATAAGTAATACTCCTAATATGGTTACAGAGGACAACAAAACATTTCCTTCCACCCCTGTTTCTTAACCACGCGATTGCTCACTTTATACCTTTTTACGAAATAGCACATTTATATTTTCATTTTTAGGGCTGCATAGCATTCCTTTGTATGGAATTACATTTAAACCAGACCTCTCTTAATAGACATTTAAGCTAGTGGTCTGTGACTTGGCGGCATTGCCATTCCCTGGAAAATTTGTGGAAAATGCAGATGCTTTCCTCCATCCCAGAATCACTGAATCAGAATTCCTGGAGGGTGTGGCCTAGGAATTCTCCGTGAGCACCTCCAAAAAATTTTGTTTTACACTGAAGTTTAAGATCACTGAGTTTGTGTTCATTAGCGGTTGAGAGGTTCCGGTAGCAAGCTGGTTATGCCTGCGATCACGGCCCTGATTGTTGGTGACAAAGTTATGAAGAAAAGTCAAACTTCCTGGGCTACATTCAGGGTTTTTCCTTGCACAACTGGCCGGCATCCGCTCTTATGGCCGGGTTTCTGGTGTTCCTGGCTGTGTGAGAAATTCCGTGAGTTGGTGCGACCTGGGGCAAGGCACAGTCTACAAGGCTCTCTGCGGCCTAGGTGCAGAGAGGGGAGGGGGCGAGGGGGAGTGCGGGCCGCTGGGAAACTGCAGTCGTTTCGGGGTAAATGTGGAAGCCGGAGAGTGGTTGGGAGATAATGTATGTAAAATGTTGTTGGAACATAGTAAGTGCTTAGTAAATAGTAGCTGTTTACTGTTTATTATGTTTATAATCTGTCTTTCACACTTGACAATGTCAGCGCTGTTCCCCAGAGTCTTGAACAGCGCTTGGCATGTAGCAGGCGTTGAATGAATGGTAAAAAATACCGTCATCGTTATCATCATGATCATCATCCTAAAAGGGAGTCTGATCTGTTAGAAAGTACTCTTCCAGGTATTTTTATGACGTAATATCCAAACGGTTCAGGAATGGCTTGCTGGGCACCGGAGCAGGTATCTTTCATGTTGCCTGACTTGACTTTCCTGCAAGAGTCCCAGGGACTGTCAGGGCCACTCATTGGGTTTCCTTGGTGTCAGTCAATACTGCCTGACCAATCAGCACAAAATGCTTGAACCACCGTCGGGGCGGAATTAGCAACTATTGCTTCAGGCTCTGGGCAGGGTACAGGTTAGGCACAGAGACATTGTATTGGAAGAAAAAAGTGGACGTAACCTGGGTACTGGAAGTTAGGTACAAGATGGACATCAGTGAGTGGGACTCAAGAATTTCCTTAGCATTGGGCATCAGAGCACTCTGACCCCTTCATTGCTTGATTGGAGACTCTTGAGTTCCAGGCCCTGAGCTCTGAGCCCTGACCCTGGTCTTGGCATCGGCTGTTACGTTATCTCCTAGAGTGCATAACTGGCTTTAAGAAAATTTTATTTACATAAGTAATAATACCTGAACACATTTTCAAAAAAATGTAAACAGTGTAGCTGTCCCTTCCACTCCCCACCAACCCCCAATCCAGGACTGATGTAGTAAGATACTTTTCTTTGTGTTTACAAACGTTAACATAGGGGATTTGTTTCCTTCCTGGAATGGCAAACTATTATGGATATTTTTCTGTAGTATGTTAGAGCTTACTGCTGCTTGGTATTGTTATCTGCAAAGTACATGATCTCTTCTGTCTTTTATGAAGAGATCTTTTTCAACATGCAGTACTGGTGTCTGTATCTTGTTTGGAAATTTTGTGTAAGTACAAGAAAAGGTGACTTCAAATATCTTTTGTACAGCAACTCCTTTGTCTTTGCCTGAACAAGAATGATTATAGTGGCTCATTCACTTTTTGCTTATCTCAGGGTAATTCTGGTGATTCTGGTATATCTTTATTTCCTGAACACATCACTGAGGGGTTAATGGCATTATACAATGACTGATGCTATTACAATGATTAGATATGATCATGGCCTATGTTATCATAAAATCATTAATACCTTAATATTCTAAGAATGCCCAAATTGACAGTTGGGTATTTGGTCTTTTAAAGGCTGAAGCTAAATTGCAGTTTTGTTTTTTTTTTTAACCAAATGCTTAGGTTTCTCTGTTGTAAGTGAATGCCAATGATTTCTCTGTGTGTGTGTGTATAATTTTAAGATTTTATTTATTTATTTATTTTAAGATTTATTTATTTATTTGAGAGAGAGAGGGGGAGAGAGAGAGAGAGAGAGTGAGCATGTCTGCTCCCAAGTAAGGGGAGCGATGGAGGGAAAGAATCTCCAGCAGACTCCCCTGTTGAACCTGGAGGGGAGGGGGGGGTTCCATCTCAAGACCCATGAGATCATGACCTGAGCCGAAGTTATCAGTCCCCTGCTCAACTGACCGATGCCCAGGCGCCCCTTATTTATTTTATTTTTTTAAATTTTAAGGTACAAATGGCCTTTATTGTTTGCAACAGGTAGTGAAAGAGGAGGGGACATGGCAGCTCTGGCTTCAGGGACCGCTCCAAAGACTGAGTCCATTGCCATCCTCCCTGTGGTTTCTTTTTTTTTCTTCTTTTTTTAAAGATTTATTTATTTATTTGAGAGAGCGAGAATGAGAGAGAGAGAGAGAGAGAGCATGAGAGGGGGGAGGGTCAGAGAGAGAAGCAGACTCCCTGCTGAGCAGGGAGCCCGATGTGGGACTCGATCCCGGGACCCCAGGATCATGACCTGAGCCGAAGGCAGTCCCTTAACCAACTGAGCCACCCAGGCGCCCCTCCCCGTGGTTTCTGTATATTAATTTTGCATTCAGATTTCTTATGAAATTGTCTTATTTTTTTTCAGTTACTTTCTAGGTTTACGATCATATGGTCAACAAATGGTCTTCTTTTCTTTTCTTTTGAAGTTTTATACATCTGATTTCTTTCTCTTTTCTAATTTTGTTGGCGAGATAAATACTAGTGGGAAAGTGGTATCTTTTTCTTCTTCTAGACTTGGGTGGGAATGCTGCTGGTGTTTGCCTGTTAAGCATAATACTGGCCGTGGCTCAGAAATTAATGTCCATGTCAAAGAAGTATCAATCTCTTTCTGTTTTGTTAATTTTTTAATGCTTTGTTTTGAAATATTTCCAAATTTACAGAAGCATTGCAAAAATAATATAAAAAACTACCATTTATCCTTCATCAACTTTTTACATTTTGCCACATTTGCTCTATATTCTCTGTCTCTCAGAAAGACCACAGGAGATACAAATGTATATATTCCTTGAATCATTTGAGAGTATGTTGTATATATTAGGCCTCTTTACCCCATAATATTTCAGTGTATATTTCCTAACAAGAATATTCTTATATATCTTTAGTACACTTACCAAATTAAGAAAAATTTAGGGCGCCTGGGTGGCTCAGTTGGTTAAGCGACTGCCTTCGGCTCAGGTCATGATCCTGGAGTCCTGGGATCGAGTCCCGCATCAGGCTTCCTGCTCGGCAGGGAGTCTGCTTCTCCCTCTGACCCTCCCCCATCTCATGCTCTCTCTCTCATTCTCTCTCTCTCAAATAAATAAATAAAATCTTAAACAAAACAAAACAAATTAAGAAAAATTTAGCATTGATGCCACACTTTAACAGTCCATTTTCCAGTTTTGTCCATTGTACCAATACTGTTTTTTTTTTAAAGATTTTATTTATTTATTTGAGAGAGAGAGCATGAGAGAGAGAGAGAGCACATAAGGGGGGGAGGGTCAGAGGGAGAAGCAGACTCCCTGCTGAGCAGGGAGCCCGACGCGGGACTTGATCCAGGGACTCCAGGATCATGACCTGAGCCGAAGGCAGTCGCGCAACCAACTGAGCCACCCAGGCACCCCTCAATAATGTTTTTTATAATATACTTCTATTTATCTATCTCTGTATCTACCTTTTAAAAAATTTATTTTATTTATTTATGCATTTATTTCTTTTTTGCCTATAAGATGCAGGTCAGGAGATGTATTGCTTTCAGGTGTCACGTCTCGGGGAGAGTTGGGAGGAGAGGCAGAGGGAGAGGGAGAGAGAGAATCTAAGCAGGCTCCATGCACAGCATGGAGCCAACCTGGGGCTTCATCCCAGGACCCTGAGGTCATGACCTGAGTAGAAATCAAGAGTCGGACACTTAACTGACTGAGCCACCCAGGTCCCCCGCTTTTTATGTTGATGTAGTCCCAATAGTTGATTTTTGCTTTTGTTTCCCTTGCCTCAGGAGATCTATTTAGAAAAACATTGCTGTAGCTCTTATAATAATAGTTCTTGTCCTAAAGTCTACTTTTCCTCAATGTTAATATAGTTACTCTGGCTCTCTTCTGGTTACTGTTTGCATGATATATCTCCTACCAGTTCAACTCATTTGTTTCTTTAAATCTTAAGTGTGTTTCTTTTAGACAACACATAGTTGGATCTTGCTTTTTTTTTTTTTAGGCAGTGGAACAATTTCTGCATTTTGATTGGGATGTTTAGACTATTTGTATTTATGGTAATTATTGATATGGTTGAATTTACACTTGCCATTTTGATATTTATTATCTGATTGCTACTGTGTTGTTTTGTTCCTCTGTTATTCCTTGACTTCTTTTGCATTAAGTAAATATTTTTGTGTGTGTCTCATTTTAAATTTTTCTGTTGATTTTTTAACCATATTATTTTGAGCTGTTTGGTTGGGATCTAGAGATCACCATATGCATCTTAACTTATTACAGTCTGCTTAAGAGTAATACTAACTTAATTTCAATACTATATAAAAATGTTGCGGAGAGGCGGGAAAGGGTGCAGGGTTTGAAACATGGCGGACGACGTGGATCAGCAACAAACTACCAACACTGTAGAAGAGCCCCTGGATCTCATCAGGCTCAGCCTGGATGAGCGAATTTATGTGAAAATGAGAAATGACAGAGAGCTTTGAGGCAGATTACATGCTTACGATCAGCATTTAAATATGATATTGGGAGATGTGGAAGAAACCGTGACTACTATAGAAATTGATGAGGAAACATACGAAGAGATATATAAATCAACAAAACGGAATATTCCAATGCTTTTTGTCCGGGGAGATGGTGTTGTACTAGTTGCCCCTCCATTAAAAGTTGGCTGAAACAAAGAATTTATCATGTATGGAATATAGGAGCTTTTGTATGATTGCCTCTTTAAATGTAGAAGACATTCAAAAGAGAAACCTGCGTAAATTTTGATATTAAGAAATGACCAAGGATTCTTCCACTCCTGAAACGAGTTGATTTGCGGATAACTAAAAAATTCTTAAGCTAAAGGGCATTTTAATTTTTTTCCAACCCTTTCAATAAATGTCATCACCAAGATGCAGAACTCTTTTTTTCAGGAAACAAAACAAAACAAAACAAAACAAAACAAAAATGTTGCTCTACACTGGGTGTTATACACAAACAATGAATCATGGAACACTACATCAAAAACTAATGATGTAATGTATGGTGATTAACATAACAATAAAAAATTAAAAAAGTCATTTAAAAACATATAATATTGAGAGAAAATAAAAATTTAATGTGAAAAAATGTTGCTCTAATACAACACCATTCCCTCTTTTTCATTCTATACTTTCATCTATATTATATTAATATATATTGTGAATCTAATAATATGTTATAATTATTGCATTTTACAGTCATGTCTTTTAAGGAAGTTAAGAGAAGAAATGAGAGAATATATTTATAGCATTTCTTAATAATAGATATTATTTTTTAGAGCAGTTGTAGGTTCACAGCAAAATTGAGCAGAAAGTGGGAGCAGTTCACATATACCCCCCTCTCACACGTGTATAGCCTCCCCAAATATTAACATTCTGCACCAGTATTACATTTCTTACAATTGATGAGCCTACAATGACACATCATTATTACCCAAAGTCCATAGTGTACATTAGGGTTCACTCTTGGCATTGTACAGTTCTGTGGGTTTTGACAAATGTGTAAATGACATATGTCCGTCATTATGGTATCATACTGAATATGGGCCCTAACAATCCTCTGCTCTGCTTATTCATTCTGCCCTCCTCCTCCCTAACCCCTGGCAATATCTATCTGATCTCCTTACTGTCTCCGTAATTTTGCCTTTTCTGGAATGTTATATACTTGGAATCATAGTTTGCAGCCTTTTCAGATAGGCTTTTTTCACTTAGTAATATGCATTTAAGGTCATTTTACCGCTTGATAACTCATTTGTTTTTAGTATTGAATAATATTCCATTGTCTTATGTGCCATAGTTTATTTATCAATTCAGCTACTGAAGGACATCTTGGTTGCTTCCAAGTATCAGCAATTAGTATATTTTAAAAAATTTTTAAAGATTTTATCTTTATTTGAGAGAGAGAGAGCACAGCAGGGGGAGCGGCAGAGGGAGAGGGAGAAGCAGGCTCCTCGCTGAGCAAGGAGCCCAATGTGGGACTCGATCCCGGGACCCTGAGATCATGACCTGAGCCGAAGGCAGACGCTTAACCGACTGAGCCACCCAGGCGTCCCCCAAGTATCAGCAATTATGAGTAAAGCTGCTATAAACATCTGTGTACAGGTTTTTATATGGATATAAGCTCACACCTCTTTGGATAAACAATAAGGAGGACAGCTGCTAGATAATAATGGTAAGAGTATGTTTAGTTTTTTAAGCAACTGCCACACTATTCCATAGTAGCTGTACCACCTTGCATTTTCACCATGAATGAGTGTTCCTTTTGCTCCATGCCTTTGTCAGCACTTGATGTTGTCCGCATTTTTTTTGTTTTTGCTTTTTTTTTTTTAGATTTTCACCATTCTAATAGATATGTAGTGATATCTTGTTTTAATTTCTTTGGTGACATGATTTGGAAGCACCTTTTCATATGCTTATTTTCCATCTGTATATTTTCTTTGATGCAGTGTCTCTTCAGCTATTTTGCCCATTTTTAAGTCAGGTTGTTCATTATCTTATTGTTGGTTTTTAAGTTGTAATTTTATACAAAATTGTATATTTTGGCTAATAGTTTTTTTTTTAAGATTTTTATTTATTTATTTGACAGAGAGAGACACAGCGAGAGAGGGAACACAAGCAGGGGGAGTGGGAGAGGGAGAAGCAGGCTTCCCGTGGAGCAGGGAGCCCGATGTGGGACTTGATCCCAGGACCCTGGGGTCATGACCCGAGCCGAAGGCAGACGCTTCACAACTGAGCCACCCAGGCGCCCTGGCTAACAGTTCTTAATCAGATATGTCTTTTGCAAATATATTCTCCTGCTCTGTGACTTATCTTCTCATTCTCTTCATAATGTCTTTAGAGAGCAGAAGTTTTAATGCCAATGAAGTCCAGTTTGTCAATTATTTTTTTTCATGGATTACACTTTTAGTGTTCTATCTAAAAAGTCATAACCAAACCCAAAGTCATCTAGATTTTTTCCCATGTTATCGTCTTAGGAGTTTTATAGGTTTTGCATTTTATGTTTAGGTCTGTGAACCATTGTAATGATTTACAATGATTTGCAATGTGTAAGGTCTGCGTCTAGATGCTGCTGCCCTTCTGCTCCTCTTCTCTCTGTCTCTTTTTGCATATGGATGTCTAATGTCTAGTTGTCCCAGCACCATTTGTTGAAGGGCTGTGCTTTCTCCACTGTGTGTTTTTGCTCCTTTGGCAAAGATCAGTTAACTATATATGGATCTAATTTGGGGCTCTTTATTCTGTTTTATTAATCTGCATGTCTATTCTTTTTTTTTTTTAAAGATTTTATTTATTCATTTGAGACACAGAGGTAGAGAGAGAGACAGAGCATGAGCAGGGGGAGAGGCAGAGGCAGAGGGAGAAGCAGACTCCCCACTGAGCAGGGAGCCCGATGCGGAGCTTGATCCCAGGACACTGGGATCATGATCTTCTTCTCCTTCTCCTTCTCCTTCTCCTCCTCCTTCTCCTCCTCCTCCTTCTTCTTCTTCATTTTTTTACCTTATTGCACTAGCTAGGATTTCCAATACGATGTTGTATTGGAGTGGTGAGAAGGAAGAGCCTTAACTTGTTCTTGACCTTAGCAGGAAAGCTTCTAGTTTCAGCCCACAGTTATGATGTTAGCTGTAGGTTTTGTATACCTACAAAACTCTTTATTAAGTTGAGAAAGTTCCTCTCTATTCCTGATTTGCTGTGAGTTAAAAAAAATCATGAATGGATGTTGAATTTTGTCAAATGCTTTTACTCTGTCTACTGATATTGTCGTGTAATTATTCTTCTTTAGCTTGTTGATGTGGTGGATTACATTGATTGATTTTTCAAATGTTGAAACAGACTTACATATCTGGGATAAATCCCACTTTGTAATGGTGTACAATCTTTTTTTATACATTGTTGGATTTTATTTGCTATTTTTTAAAATTTTTATTTATTCATGAGAGACAGAGAGAGAGAGAGAGAATGAGAGGCAGAGGGAGAAGCAGGCTCCCAAGGAGCAGGGAGCCTGATGTGGAACTCAATCCCAGGACCCTGGAATCATGACCTGAGCCGAAGGCAGATGCCCAACCATCTGAGCCACCCAGGCGCCCAGTTATTTGCTATTTTTTTAATTGAGATTTTTTTGTATTTATATTCATGAGAATATTAGTCTGTAGTTTTCTTTTTTTGTAATATCTTTGCCTGGTTTTGGTATTATGGTAATGCTGGCTTCATAAAATGAGTTAGGAAGTATTTCTTTGGCTTCTATCTTCCAGAAGAAATTATAGAGAATTGGTATAATTTCTTACTTAAATGTTTGGTAGGACTCACCAGTGAACCTATCTGGGCCTAGTGCTGTCATTTTGGGAAGGTTAATTATAGATTTGATTTCTTTCATAGATACAGGCCTATTCAGATAGTCTGTTTCTTTTTTGCAGGTTTGGCAGATTGTGAGTTTTGTCAGATTATGTCTTTCAAGGGATTTGTTTCATCTCGGTCATCAAATTTGTGGGCATAGAGTTGTTTATAATACTCCTTTATTATTCTTTTAATGTTCATTCTTTGCATACCTATTACTGGTTTTTGATTTGTGGTTACCATTGGGTTTGTATATAATATCTGCATATAGCAGCCTATATGAAGTTGATGGTTGCTTTAGTTTGGATCCATTCTTTACTCCATTCCCCCCACATTTTTGGTCTATGGTGTCATATTTTACATTCTTTTATTTTGTGAATCTCTTGGCTGATTTTTACAGATATACTTATTTTTATTGCTTTTTTGATTCCTGCTTCTCATACTTTCACTTACGGTCTTTCCTTTCCACTCAAAGAGTCCCCTTTAATATTTCTTACAGGGCTGGTTTTGTGGGTCATGAATTCCTTTAGTTTTTGTTTGTCTGAGAAACTCTTTATCTCTACTTCTATTCTGGTTTTTTCTTTTCTTTTCTTTCTTTTCTTTTTTAAGTAACCTCTCCCCCCAAGAGGGGGCTCAAACTCATACCCAGAGATCAAGAGTAGCATGCTCTACTGACTGAGCCCGCCAGATGCCCTTCTTCTTCTATTCTGAATGGTAGCCTTACTGGATAGGGTATTCTTGGCACCAATTTTTCCTTTCAGCACTTTGAATATATCATGTCACTCCTGCCTGGCCTGCAAAGTTTCTGCTGAAAAATTTGCTGATAGCCTTAGGGGGTTTCCCTTGTATGTAGCTGTCTTCATTTCTCTTGATGCTTTATTTATTTTTTTTAAACTTAATAAGCACTAGGTTTATTATTACTATTTTTGTCAAGCTCTCACTGATTATGTTTTTTTATTATGTTATGTTAATCACCATACATTACATCATTAGTTTTTGATGTAGTATTCCATGATTCATTGTTTGCGTATAACACCCAGTGCTC